TACACAGAATCTCTTGGATTACAATTTGCAACTAGACGGATGTTTTTCCGTACATTTCTGCCATATGTACATTAACTGACAGTCACCACTGATAAGCTACTACTAAATATATTGTAGAATTGAATTGAACTGATCTCTGGATCTCTGACCATCACGAACACCACAACTGAACATGCTGGACTTTAACTACAGATCTACACAGAGCTCAAATCCCAGAAATTCAAGAACGCGTCTCCAGAAAGGAAATGGAGCTGCTCGTGCGCGAGCAAATAGGTAGCCTAATTCTGATACATGCAATGGTTATCCATTATAACATGTAGGCATTTTTATATTCATGTAGCCTACACAATAATAATCTTTCATATTTTAATATTAAATTTTTTCATATTTTAAATTTGTAATATTTTGTTAAATTTCTGTCCTCCCTGTGTGTAATAAGCAAACTGAACGCACGTTGTGGACCCGCCCAGAGGTGCATTTTCTACAAATGCGCTCTTTAAATAACAAAAAAAATATTGCGCCATTGACTTTAGACTTTAGACCAGGTTTGAGTTGGGTCGAGTTGAGTCTATTTTCAGTTCCTCAAAAAAGCAACACACCAACAATGCGCCTGAACACACCTCTTTTTTAGACCAGCACGCCCATGAGCGCACAAATGGGCGCAAATACATTTGCTATTTAAACAACGCGGCACTTAGTGTCTACAGTGAGTTAAAAATCAGTTTTGCTTTCTCTATCAGATTATTAAATGCTCTACTTTTGATCAATCTTCCTCAACTATAGGGTTGGGAATCCAGAATTCCAGAATAGGATACTTAAAGTCAGGAATGGGATACTTGTTGTAAAATTAAAATTTCAATTCCACCTATCAATTCCTGTGTGCGCATCTTTTTTTTTTTTTTGGTGGCGAAAAGGGGCTGTTAAAAACGTATTTGTCTTTGAATCATTCATTCAAGAGATTCATTCAAAACCACTGAGTCATCCAGTAATGAAACAAGTAAATCTTGAGTGAGTCATTTAATCGTTCCATTCATAAATTCCATGAGATTTTGTTTAGTTGTCTAATATTTTTTCTTCAGATTTGTGAGAGAACCACAACCTCCATTTAAAAAAAAAAAAGTCTCAATTTATCCAGAATCGTGCAGCTCTATTTTGCACACAAACAGCTCTTAGTCGAGTCCAGTTTTTTTGTAGCCGACTGACTTTTGTTCATGCTATTCAGAAGCAATTAAATATTTTGCAAAAAGAGACACAGAATAAATATGTCTGATATCTAAATGTTTGACTTCATTTTTTTAACCACATTGGAATCGAAACTGGGAATCGATAAAAATTGAAATCGATAAGCAGAATTAGAATCGGAATTGGATTTGATAAAATTCAAACGATGTCCAACCCTATCCTCAACAATGTTTCTTCCTCAAGCTTGAATATCTTAATTCATCCTCATTTATCTTTATTCTCTCATGTTTTTAGCTCGTCTGCCTGTTCCTGTCATCAGCAGTAACTCTTCACAATGTTCTTCATCATCAGAATCAGAATCAGAATGAGCTTTATTGCCAGGTATGTTTACACATACGAGGAATTTGTTTTAGTGACAGAAGCTCCACAGTGCAACAGAATGACAGTGACAAGACAGGACACAGACAATAAAAAGAATAATATTAAAATATGCAAAATAGACAATGTACAAAAAAGCAAAAACACAATATATAATATAGACAATTTTGTATGTACAGGTATGATATGTGCAAATTTGAAATGTAAATAAGTATGCGTGTTAAATAAATAATGTATGC